GGCAACAAAAGACTGAAGCTCCGAGAGGAGGAGGAAGGAGGAGGGAGGAAGCCGCGCGGCCGCCCGCCAGCCGCGCTTCCCCTCACTGCGACAAAATGGAGGACAGCGGAGCCCCTGGGATTCGGCTGCAGGCAGCAGTCTAGTGCGATTTTAGCCTTCAGAGAGCTGCTGGTTTCCCTTCATCCCTGCCTGGCAGCCGCAGGGGCGGACAGCGAGCACGGCTTCCAGCCGTGAGGGGCTTCTCGCCGCTGGGAGCCGGGCAGGTGACTTCGGCAGCAGCGGAGGTGTTTTAAACCAGAGTCTGCCAGGCTGGAGCAGGGAGAAAGGTGGTTGATGGCAGGTCACGACAAGCTGCTTGCCTCCGCCAGTGAGCTCGGGAGCCCGGCAGCTCACACCTCAAGTTTTTCCTGATTTTGAAGACGTGTCTGCACAGCACCACATTTCCTCTCATCTCTTTTACCATGTATGCACCAGAATGGAACAACCTGTTTTTTATTAACAAACCCACGTGTATCCCCAAAAGGTTGGCTAAACTTCTGCTCCAAACAATCCTAAAACTCAGGTTCTCTATTTGGTCTCACACCAGTGGGAAAATCGGTGCATAGGCAGCAAGCACCTAATATGGAGCTTTAGATGGAAAGGCAATTCCTCCCCACACTTTGTGGGGATAGGGACCCCATTAATAATTTTAATATTAAAAAATAATCCCAGAAAGCCACCACCCATTTCTTGACTAATCACTGGAAAAGCCTGTATGGTTACTAGCTGTCTCAAAAGCATCCAAGGGATTTTTGCCAAGAATGCTGGACTAATCCCAAAATAAAAACAATGCTCTGTCTAGCTGTGTAAGGAGAAGCAGCTTTTTAAAATCACTGTTCTTGAGCAAGGAGTCATTCATCATAGAGACCGAGACAGCTACTTTGAGAGGACAGCATTAGACTCGCAGCTCAGGCTGTTGGGCACACCAAGTCAGCATTTATGAAAAGCAAAATATAAACAGGCTCTTGGTTTTCATTTTTGTTTCTTAAGACTCAGCCACACTTGCACAGCTCAGCTCCACTCGAATGGTATTGATTTATACAGCGCACAAAAGCCCTGTCAGCTCCAACACTTATTTCTGCATTAAGTTTATCTGGAAACAGTAAGTGAACTCTTCAGACATCGCTCTGGCTTTTCCATAGCGTCCTTCCTTGACTGGGACAATGCTACCAACAACTGGATATCAAAGTCCAAGCTCTTGCCCAAAAAGATACACAATGCTACAGGTTTCCCCAACGAGGAAAAGGTAACACGAAAGAAGAGCTCTTGCCCCACTCTGCAAGAAATACCACAGTCTGCACAGCTCTTCATGCTGAAAGAAGTAACCCAATACAATAGTCTCAATTTATTTGAAATAATTCAGTTTGAAAACTTTTTAATTTAAAATTTACAGCACACGTGGGGAGGAAACATGTTTTGTTACAACTAAAAGTTATCAGAAGAGTGCTGCAGGGTTGTTTTCTTTAATTTAACACTGTCATGGCTTTATTCAAAACACAGTTGCACAAAATCAGTTACTCCAAAGTTTAAGGAAAGAGTCTGATAAGGAACCAAAACACACTATATACATACTGCCATACAAAGAGCATCAAAATAGGACAAAACCTCTACAAAATATAAAACCCACCCTTACATATTTGCATGAAAAGACCACCCACCAAGCAAAAAAGTTTCAAAAGTTATCTGGAGGCTCTGTATTACTTATTTTAAAAAATGCTATGCTGTTTAGTCGCATGCCAAGCTGACAAACATGGAACTCTACTTAGATGGTAACACTGAGGAAAAGACAAAGTTACAAAGTTTTGTGTGAGGCTCAGATTTTCAGATGTAGCGGCTGATGCACGACCCTGCAAGGTGTTTTAGGAAGTGTTAAGTCTTGTTCTCTTAGGGAAGGTCTGTTAATACCTTCTGAGTTTATTCTCTTTTGTCCAACTCACCCAACGTCAAAAATGGTCTGGCTTACTGAAACAAAACCAGCACTCAAATAATTTTAATCCATCAAAATAGAATATTTTCTTCCATTTAAAACTAATTTTATACGCATCAGTAAGAGACAGTTAAGGAAAAAACTCTGACAATGAGGTACTTTAAAGTACACGCTTATAAATAATACGTTTCATTCACTGAGACTGAAAAAAAATAAGCAAAAAGATGGGAAAATACACTTTTCTATCTCGAAGCTGAGCACAAAACAACTGCCTTGAACACAGAGCCTCCAAGACAAGCTAGGATGTGCACTTACCTAAGATTTCTATTCATTCAGTATTCATACACAAACACAGGAACTTAGATTGTGGTTGCAAATGTAGTTTCACCACTACTTTTCTAGTGTCTTTACAGATATTAATTTCAAAATGCAAACCCCATTTCGTCAGTTCATTTCCGTGTTGCCATCCACCTGACTCAGTTCATTTGGACGCCTTGGAGGGCTGGCCATGCTTTACAGCTACATGAGAAACTAGGATTTAAGGCTCTATTTGAGGGGGAGGGGGGGGAACCACACACACGAGAAATTGGGCTTTGCAGAACTTCAACCCTGCAGTATCTAACCTTGATTAGGAGCCGGAAGTCGCATTTAAAGTCTGCCAGGGTGTGAAATAGCCATTGAACACTCCCAGGTATTGATCCATGGGTGACTGACTCTTTCCTAGGTCCAGAATCTCCCATTCCCTGGTGTCTCCCCCAGTTTAACGGCAGCTTTTGTCAGCCAAGACAGATACAAAAATAATCTCTTGAATAAAGCTGTGTGTGATATTTGGTTCAGTACCTACGTGAAACAATGTACGTTAGTTTTCTATCACAACTACTATTTTAAATCCAGATTACGACTGACGGAGGAATGCTGTGTGCCTGAACTTGCTTCACAGTGGCTCAAACAGAAAACAAGAATCCAGATTTGGGGCAGAATCATTCCGAGCTGTTGGTCACAACTGGGCTGCAAGAAAATACCTCGTCCGCGTGTCCCCTGTACAAGCCACCAACTCTATGCAACGGAACAAGTTTCTGCAGCCACTCACTACAAAAACCCTAAACTATTCACTAGTATTGTACAGGAACTCAAATGTTTTGCCTACAACCAGGTTTTACAAGTTTATAAGGTGACCTACGAAGAAAAACTGAGTTATGGTTATTATCTTTATCTTTCCCCCTTCAATGATTCTATAAAAGTGTCTGGGGGTGTCTGAAAAAGAAAAGAGTATGTGCTTGAAGGAGTTACCCGTTAACTTCTGCATTAGAAATGCATACATTTTACAGCCAAACACGACTGCTGCACAATTCCCAAAATGAGCAAAGTGAGTGAAAGTTTAACAAAGACTTCAAGCAAAATGGCTTACGACGACAAATTACTTGCTTCTGTTAATACCTGCAATAACTGTGTATTTCAGAGAAAAATTGTGGATTACAACCTTTTCAGTCTGCCAAGATACGTTCCTGAAGGAATCAAGTCAATATTCCAGCAAACACCGAATGTCTGAAGCAGCAGGAAAAAAAAAAATCTTCTGAAACCCACTTAGGCTTTACAATGTGACACAGAATGGGACAGAGGACAAAATATTACAGAAGTCACCTTTTAAAAAGCTGAAATAAAGGTGCAATCCAATTGTTGATTTCCAATAGAATCCCTGGTGAACTCAGACTACCATCAACATCTCATTTAAAGAGACTGGAATTTGCCATAGAGCGTTTTTGAGTTCAGCTTTTTCAGTATAAAAATGTCAAGGGAAATTCACAATATTTAACCCATGTGAAATGGGTGTTTCAACTCTGGGCTAATGATGGCCAACACAGCAAGCTTATAGAAAATTAAAGAGCTCCAAATAAAAGTCATGGGGGGGAAACTTGACAATGGCTTTAGTGATTATAGGGCTGAAAATTGTTGTCTACGTATTCACTACCAGGCTATTATACCTTATTTGGAATGATAAAAAGGGTAAGAATACCAAAACCACACTTCTCCTATAAAAAGTTAACATATTCTCTTCTGTAGGGACATCTATGGTACATGGAGACGTACAGATCTGCATAATCACTATTGCGTATTCTGTCACCGAAGAGTCTGCTCCTGCTGCGTCTGTCACAGATTAATCCTCCTCTTCCTCGCCCTCATCTTCGGGCTCTCGTTTCCTCTTCTCCCCACGAACTCCCTCTGCTAAGGAAAAAGGAATGCACACAGCTCAGACATCGTACGTGTAACACTGTATTTGGAAAAGAGGTAACTGAAATAATACATTGACCACTAACATCCCTGTCGCTTATGGCTCTCAAAAAAAAGGTCGGTTTACATCACTCCAAATAATTCACAGGGGCCACATTAAATGAAGATCAACATAAGCCTGCGATGTTCCATACAGGAACTATCAAGATGAAATGGATTTATTTTAAAAAGTCTCTCTTAACATATATTTGAGAACTAAACCAGAATTTTTGACATTTTGGTATCTCCCTAACTTCAGTTTTTAGAAGTTGTGTGCACCCTGCCCAAAACACAGCGGTTTCTGCAGACACCAAGTGAAACGCGCTCTGTTCTCTTCCAGTGACAAACTGACGTGAGCATCTCGCATGAACATCTTTGGGCACATTCTCAGAAATATGCCGAGTTCGGTCAGGGGACTGTGCGCTCTTGTGGCGAGATCCTGAAATGCAATTCTGTCAGATCCAATAAATTGCTTTTCCAGCAGTCATTTCCTGGCTAATTACCTATCCTGACCTCCTGCTTTGCTGTCTTAATAGATTCAAAGGCTGCATTTGTAAAAAGTGAAAAATTAGCATTACTACTTCAGAATTCGTTTTTCCAAGTGCAGATACATCTCCAAAAAACGCTCCATTAAGCCAAGTGTACGGATGAGAAGGGGACCAATCTGATGAGAAATTACAAAGTTTGGCTGCACTTCACACACACTTCAGGACTAACACAAAACTTTGCTACTAGGAGCAGCTGAAAATTTAGGACAATCCTAACCAATACAGAACTGAAGTTCTGGGAGAGCCTTGTAGCAAGAAGAAAAACCAGCTCATTTTAAGATGAAACTTGATGTTTTTAAAGGGACTTTAGCAGCCACTGAGAAGTAGCAGAGCCTCCTGGCTAGTGTCTTCACCTCACCACAGAGATGCACCCAACCCTCCCCCCAGATCAGAGCCCATTGGTGTCTGCACAGGAACTGAGCACAGGACCCTGCCCACAGAGCAGCTCCTGCTCCACCAGAGCAGAGCACCCAGCACCAACCCGGTCCCTCCCTGCAGGCTTGGGACCCCCAAACAAGGGGCAGAAAGGAACAAGTACCACGTTTGTCCTGTTGAACTTTCTGCAGGTCCTTTTTAAAATATCAAGGGAGAAAATAAAAAGTTGGTTTATGAAAAACTACTCAAGTAACACACTCCTGGCAAACAGAACTTCATGTTCTGCAAAATCCAAAGGCTCAGCATCAGCCTGCATGAACACCACCCTTTCCACATCAGTTACACACGCTCAGTCCACTGAACCTTCCTAAAGCAGTGTGAACCATACACACCGGCGGTTTTGGGGGTTTTTTTTGCAAGCTTTTGACCACTGTGTGTGTCTGACATCAAACCAGTCATTTATGACATTAAGAAGTCACCAGTCAGGATCCTGGGTGGAGATTGCCTCTGGAGCAGAGAGGTTTTACTGGAGTAGCCACCTCCAGCTCGACACAGGGAAAAGCCAGAGCTGCTGCCACCAGTGGAGCCTCTGGTGCACAAAACAAGGTATTTTACAAGTATAAAAATATATCTCCAAGGCGTGTGTGTGTACACATATATATGTATATAAATACATAAGAGTCTCTCTCCTCTCCATGTTGGAAAATTTCGTGTATTTTAAATTAAAATTTCTAACCATGCAGGGGATGCAGTATCTTTCATTTTAGAAAACTGCTTCAAAAAGACTTGCAAAATGTCATTTCTTCCTTATTTTTATTCTACGAATGGACAAAAAAAATGTTAAATACTGCACACTTTCACTTCTTGCTTCAGCTGTTGCTTAAACTGATCCTAAAATACTTCAGATACCTTCAGGAACAGAGCAGCCAGCGATTTATGCCATTAAAGCGCACATCCCAAACTCACAAAGTTACAGAATTAGGAAGAATCAATTGTTTCAGTCCCAGCTTTCCTAACTTGAGAACTTACCTTCTTCTTCCTCATCACCTCCTTCTTCCACGTAGTCATCGTCATCATCTTCATCCTTGACAAAAATTGTGAAACACTTTTAAAACTGTCATTTTAAAAAAAAGTTTTGCTTCAGTGCTGATCCTGAGCAGGAATTCAGAAAATCCCACTTTCCACACTGACTTTTTCAGGCCTGGACACACGTTCGAGGACACCACCCAAGCGGTCTGTGCTACACTGAATCGCCCACACCAGCATTATCTGCCCGGCACTCTCATCTCTTTGTTTTTTCCCCACTTATCACTACCTCACACCAGCTCAGGACTAAGTTACTGCAAAATGCACTGAAGAGGCCAGGACAGCAAAGAGAGACAACAAAACAGCTTCACTTTTCTTCTTCATCCACTGTCATTAAAGGAGAAGGAAGAGGGAAGAGCAGAACAGTATCTTCACTAAATTATAATTTCTATGTCAAATGAATCAGGTTGTTGAGGGTTTTTTTCTTTTTCTCCTTTTTTTTTTAAGCTGATAACTGAAAAATGTAAACCAATGAACAGAAAATTCAACAACGGTGTAAGATCTCTGCCCTGCTGGCACCACGTCAAGCCTTGAAGACAAACTGAGGTCTTATTTATACCCATCTGCTACAGCAAATTTTACACACAAGGGAATGCAACAAGTCAAAACGTGCAAACATCAGAAAGCTCATCTGATATGGGAATTAAAAAATTATCTGGATTAATTCACTGCAATTGGAATGGTACCCGATTTCATTTTTGAAATCGCAGGGAAAAGCCACCAGACCAGAACCCTTTAAAAACTTCACCCTGACCCCCCCTGCTCCCAGAATACCAACTCAGGCCCCACGTTTGTTGCCCATCATTGGGAGGGCCCCAGTTCTGAGCTCCCCAACGTTTCCATGGCTCCATGTGGTAACTTCTGAATGTGCAGAACCAACCACACACGATTCATTCCTGATACCCTTCTAGCCAAATATTGCTCAGTTTCCCAAGAGTTTTCCTCTAAGTTTTGGCTTCAAAACAGATTTATTATTCAGGTTTAGCTTCATGAGCTGCATCACAGCCATTGCCTCTTCAGAGCATTAAGGCAGAAATGAAGTTACATTCCTAAGTCATAGGAGCTCTGGTTACAACAGCAAAATGAGGAACACCAAAGAGTTTGGTACGAGATTTTCTGCACACCCATGAGAAATGCAGCTGATGGGAAGGAAACTCTTATCAAAAGAAACAGTCATGGAAGTGATGTCAATGGGGTTTTTGATCTGAAACGTGCGAGCTTTGCACAGATGTGCACACAAAATCCATGCCAGATGCGTTCTCCCTCTGAAGTCCTGTAGCTGTCAAAGGAGAGGGCGGAACTGGGACCTCTGGGCTCTTCTACCCAGTGTGAGGCATGGCCAGTTCATATCTACAAGAAACTATTCGTAACACTTTACAATGTGTGTATTTTCTTATTCTTATACTCCTCCATTCAGCACAGTGCTGCTTGGAAGATCCTGTGGGACATTTTCAACTCCACTAAAACCATTTTCAAGTGAATGCATGGTTAAAAACCCCAGTGTTTATTACAGCAAACCCCCTACTTTTCCTTTGTTTCACTTTACTTGAAGCACTGGTAACTTGTTGCTACTTCATTATCTTCTTTCACAAGATCAGGGCATTTGCTGTGGTTTCCCAAATAAATTAATTTCTTCTTAGTATCCATTTCTGTTTTGACAATTTAATGGGCAGTAGCACACAGTTTCAAAACGGCTGCTTTAGCTTAGAGAACGAAGCTCTTCCTTCCCGCACCACTGGGGGTGGATAACAGTGAACTCAGTAGAATTTACAAACTTTACCTGAATCTCTTCTTTCATCAGGTACGAAAGACCAACTTCCTCCTCCTCTTCGCCTTCCCCCAGGTCTGAACCTCCTTCGTCTTCATCGTCTTCTTCTTCATATTCTCCTGGAGGACCAGCTTCACCCTCATCTTCATCATCATCATCTTCATCTCCTTCTGAAACACAGGATACGCAAACACGGTAGAAGTTCAGTTTCATTAACTCCTCTTTATGCACATTTCTATCCACCAGGCCAAGCTACTTGCAGCAGTTTTTTCCAGAAGGCTGGAGGGGTTTTCTAATTATTTATAAAATGCAGACACCACATGGGAAACAAGCACAATTTTAATGAAGTTCATCTTTTATCATTTTTTCCCCCTGAAAAAACGCTACCAATGGTTTTCATCACAAGCTTCAGGCAGAATTCTCGAGGCCTGGAGCAGTTGCGTATGCAAACTCCTGCAACGAGCTGAAGATTTCAGTCTGTGGAAGGGGAAAAGAGGCTTCTCTATACAATCAAAGCCTAAAATCTTTAAAGGCAAACCCTGCTTAACATACTACATTTACCTGTTACTTCATCACTTACTGGTAACTAAAACACCTACGGCTCAAATAAATGATCTCTCCTTTCATTTCTACGTCTGGAGCACATCACCACTTTCACAGTTTCAAGTTAAGCAAATCACAAGGTGATCTAACGCTTCAATTCATTTTCAAGTTAATAACCTGTTGAATCCATTTTCAAATATTGGGTTTATTTTCACACTATTTGGCTTTCACCAACTTTTTAAACACAGCTTCCAAACTCTGCTGTGTCCGAGTGCTTGTCAGGAGCCCCTCGACAGTCGCCACCCAGCAGGGGCAGCCCCAGCACAAAGCAACACCGAGAAACCTCTGTTAAACAGATCCAGCCTAAATCTCACATTATTTGTGTGGGTATTTACAACGCAGACGTGCGTAAGACGCTGCATCACAACAACAAACTGTAATTTCTCATGCAAAGTAACGTGTGTTTATCTCCTTGCTTTGTATCATTTGGTAGTCTCAGAGTGCTTCACTACTGGCAACAACTGATTTTGTGAATATTTACATCTTTGTAACAAGATCTTAAGTCAAATTTTCTTAAACTCAGAAGGCCCCTGCAAGAATACGGCACCTTTGAGAGGAGTCTTCCTTCTGTATCACAGTGTGTTAACACCAGCCGAGCCCCAGAGAGTTGTGGTAGTGCACTCAAGAAGTCACCGTACCTCACGCTACGCCTATATATTTATTACAGCAGACTTGTTCTATCCACAGTTTATTTCATTTATTTACCCTCATCATCGTCATCTTCTGAGTCCGGCGCCTCGTTATCTTCCTGATCAAACCCATCCAGGTACGTGATTTGCTGGAGCAGCTCGAAAATGCTGTCTCTATAATCCTCAAGGTTTGTAATCTCACAGCTGAACAGGTCAAGGCTCTTCAAGTTTTTGAGATTTTGCTGAAAACAAAGAAAAAAGGGGTTTTTTTTGGTCCCCCTCCTATTTCTTGAAGTCACAGTGCCCAAACACCATTAGCCATGCAGCCAGCTACAGACTTTATTTTGTCTCCATCCCTTCAGTGTTTTGCTCCCCATCAAACACAAACTTCAGTTCCAAAAGCTGTTTGTCAGAACTCCTATGCAGATCAACGCCCAGCGTGTCTGCAGCTCCCAGCGTACCCATGAAGCGCTCGACCACCACGCACAGACTGCGTAAGGTACCCGGGTTTGGGTTTTGTTTCCTCCTCTTGTTCAATCCTGGGCAAAAACTTAACTCCAGCAGCCTTTCAGTACACAGTTTGATTAATTTAATTACAGGCACCTTGTGAGGACCAAGCAAGAAGCACTTGGGTTTATAACCACGCTAAAGAATCTGCTTGCTCAACAACCAAGACCATACAACCTGCGCTGATTCTTCTCACCTTTCAGACCTTACACACGTATGGAACGAAGCACCTGCATGGCCTGGTAAGCACTGAAGATTTAAATAAAAGTGTTTCTTCTAACCCGTAACTGCTTTACTTGGTCTACTGACCGCTGGGTTAAAGCGCCATTAAAGGAGAGGAAGAACCTTTAAGTTTCAAAAATACACAGCCTGCATCAAAGACATAAAACCAAATAATCTAGAAAAGGGGGCGCACGGATCAGGCAGTGACAGGCCCTGGCAGCTCCCTCCATTTAAATAACCCAGGCCTGGTGCTCTCCAGGAACGAACAAACACAAGAGGAGTATCAAGACATAACCTGGCGACTTTTCTTTCAGAGACACAACCGAAGCTCAAAAATTTCTCATTCACTCTTACTCTACTCACACAGAAGGGGTTTTACAGCTGCACATTTACAAGTACTGTCCCTAATAACCATGACATGGAGATAATCAAATTGGGACCAACTGCAATACTGACAAACCCAAACCACCGCAGCATCCATTTCACCTGAGCTGGCAAGGGAAAAAACCATATATAGAACACATAGTTATGGAAAAAAAAGTCATTTTGCACGCCTTTCAGCTGAAAAGGAATAGACACAGCTAGAACATACCATGCTCTACCTCTGCACCTGCCGATTTCCTATGTTGTATCGGTTTAACTCCCCCATTTGCCGTTTCTGTGCTTGAAAAAACTGCTCATACATAACCACAACAGCTCAGTTTGTGCCATACCATCGAAAAAACATTCTTATTAAGAAAACAGTCTTTATTAGATGTAAATTTTCCATTAGCCCCTCTCACTCTGTACTTACAAGAGCTTCCACAGTGCCAAGATCTTTGATTTTGTTGCCACTTAGATTTAGATATGTGAGATTTGGACATCTCTCTGCAAGGACCTCCAGGCCTCCTGAAATGATGTTGTCGCTCAACTCCAACTATCACACAGAAAAAAATAAGTTATTAAATGGTTGGACTTTTGTCATCAAAATCAGACACAAGTAATTTTAAATCGTTCTCCCTTTAGCAGCTCAATCACAAAGCCAAACACTTCTGAAGCATCCCACAAGTTCACAAGCACAAGTTGTGTTAAGGCTTTGGCCATTAAAAAGTTCCTTTAAGTTTTCTTTGAGGATTACAAATTTAAAATTCTAGGCATTTGAATACCTAAATTAGGAGAAAGTTAGGAGGATATATAACACTGGAATTTACTGTGAGCCTTTATTCTGCCAGCGAGGGGCAACTTCAGTGGCCAGCCAACCCAGCAGCCTCTGAGCATCTCAGTGAGACACAGCCAAGCTTCAGGTTTTCACTGGATATTTCCCATCCCATGTGTCCTTGACCAAGTCCAATTTGCCCATCATTAACCGGAGATACCCAAAACAGTTTCAGATCTAAAAAAACCCCACAGATTGGCCATGGCGTCATTTCACCAGGCTGCCATCTCCTACAGCACGGTCAGCACCACACGAGATGCTTGCCCGTGCTTTGCACTTCTCAAGGCAGTGGGGGAGGCACCCACCTTGCGGAGCTTGCTGAGCGTGGGGAGCTTGGCCAGCGACGTCAGCTCCACGTTGGCCATGCTCAGGAACTCCAGCTCTTTGAAGGAATCGTTCAGCCCCTCGATTTCCCCATTGCTGGAGCGGCAGTTGTCAAGCACCAACTCCGTCACCTTCAAACAGGACAAGTCACTCATCACGCAATCACAGAACATGAGGGATTGGAAGGGACCTCCAAAGCTCATCCAGTCCAATCCCCCTGCCGGAGCAGGAACACCCAGATGAGGTTACACAGGAAGGCGTCCAGGCGGGTTTTGAATGTCTGCAGAGAAGGAGACTCCACAACCTCTCTGGGCAGCCTGGGCCAGGGCTCTGTCACCCTCACTGAGAAGAAGTTTCTTCTCCAATTGAAGTGGAACCTCCTGTGTTCCAGCTTGTGCCCATTACCCCTTGTCCTATCATTGTTTGTCACCGAGAAGAGCCTGGCTCCATCCTCGTGACACTCACCCTTTAAATATTTATAACCATGAATGAGGTCTCCCCTCAGTCTCCTCTTCTGCAAACTAAAGAGCCCCAGCTCCCTCAGCCGCTCCTCAGAAGGGATCATCAGTTCAATGAGCATCGGAAACCCACACGCTTCATCTAAACCACAACCAGGGGGCTGTTAAACGGCTCTTTGGGGTTTGGGTTAAATTTAGACCAGAACTGTGGTCTGAAATCACTGACACCTGCCTGTTTAAAAACAAAAAAAGCATGCCAGCATCTCCCTTCCTCTGAGCAGGCTTCAAATTCTGCAAAAACTGTCACCTAACCCCAAACCCCACTGATAAACACCTTTATAGCTTCCTATACTGCCACCGCAGCCGAGGGTGTGAGCTGCCCTCGTACACAAGTGAACTGCAAGCTTGTTTCTAAAGTCTAATAATTCAATTCTGCATATTCAAATCTATAAAAGCATTCAGTTTCTTTCTGAACCCTAAACCTTCTGGCTCCAGATTTTAGCAGTGAGTTCTGCAGGTTAATTAAGCCCAATTAAATAATTTCCTCATGCCAAAGCCACTAAAACAGCTAGGTAATTGATACAGGTCACGTACTTTGAAAAGTGGTAACAGGGAGCAGCCAATTAATTTTAAATTATTTTATCTACAGTGGAACATACCCCTCATCAGGAAGGCCATTAACGAGGCAACTCTTCGTTTCCCCTGTACACTTTTAAGCAGTAACATTTTAAGACTTCTGCAGACACCCCCGAGCAGTGCAAGTCTCGCTGTTGTTTTATTTATCCACCAAAAAACACCACTCCAAACAAGCACAAAGTTTTAAAGGCAGCAACCATGGGAGAGGGGACCTTCACGGCTTCGCCCGAGAAAGATGCACGCTAGAAGCACATGGGGACCTTTCCAGGTCCCTGCCACCGCACCGAGAAACTCATCGAAACCCGCGCTGTTCCGTTAAATCCACAGTTTCAGGCACTTTTTCCCCAAATCCCCGTGAACCGAGGCAGCCTCATGGCGCTGTCGTCGCCGCTGGACTTTACTCCCGGGGCGGGCGAGAGGGGCCGGGCTCCGCTTTTCCCGACCGCCCTGGATGCAAACCCGGGGGCCAGGGCCACGCGTGGGGTGGCGGGGCCGGGGGC